GACATTCTTCACTCTTCACTTTTGGTTTTGACTTTTACCCTTGCCTGCATGAATGACGAAACACCAATTGAATGATTGGAGAGTTAGGTTTGTAGGCAATTTCCCCTTAATAAGTCTGTCTCCTGCCTGCTCAACAGTCACTCACTTATGCATTTTTAAAAAAAATTTTTAGATTAATTTTAATTTGCTAAATTGGTGAATTTATTTTCATTTTTGGTTTTGCACTTGATTTACTTATGCTATCTGAATTTAAATGATATTGTAGATTAGTTCAAAAATTAAATCTTTTATATGTTTGCACATTTTTTAATTATTTTAACTTTAAATTTTGCTTTTTTACGTACATACATGTTCGTTAAAATTTAAATTTGTTTAAATTTAATATATATACTCGTATGCACTTAATAGTGAATGTCGAAGCTTATTTCTATGGGTTTCTAAATGCGTATTTAAATTTATTTACTAAAAATAGTAACTAAATTTAACTGGAACAGTCTGCGTCGAATAGTATCACCTAAACTACCTTTGTTGATCAGTTCTTTCTTCTCCTGTAGTTTGCATAACCGTTTAACACATCAAATGAAAACAAAAGTCAAAGGAGCTTTAGACTGGGTAGGATTAATCTGGTTAAAAATTTTAAACAGAAACATTCAACAGCTCGCTAAGTAATTGTGTTGCTCATTAAATAATTGTCAGAAATGGCCAAACCCATCGGTCATTTAGCCTTCTCTATGCCGAAAACAATGCCAAAGGGGGCAACAATATTATACTCGCAAGGAGGATAGATAACTATATATGCCTTCTCCATGATTCGAGTGCCTTCTCAGCAATATGGCAGGACAAGACAGAAACAAGTGTTTAGGGCGCCATCACGACACCATAGACAAGATTGGTATAGCCCTAACAACCTACTTATCTAGAACAATTCCTGCTTCAGGAGTTTATTGAAATTTTAAAAAAGTGGGCAAAAAAGAAAGAGAAAGAACCAAATTGAGTGATATTATTGAATAAAACCAAACAAAAAAATATTAGACTGAATTCGAAGCATTTTCAAGTTAGCGCATGTGTTAAAATACATGGCTGGAAGACATTACTATTAGATGTAAATAAGCGCATTTATACACTTTTAGCAATTTCTCAATTTACTTCTGCATAGCTCATAAATTTTCAGTACATATACAGCCCCTGTACTACATAATGTTTAAAATGAGTGTGTCCAATAGGCATGAAATTAGAAAAGACAAGTAGAGGAAAAGTACACACCAACGTTATTATTATGCGTATTTCAAACTGTTCTACCTAAATGACTAAAATACCTAAATACCTAAATGACGGTTTCAGGAAGTTAATATGGAATGGAAAGGAAATGGAATAATAAACACCATAAAATGGAAACTACTAACATAATAAAAAAGTTTATGCAAAAGCATTTACACTTAAATAACATACATTTTTACATGTAAATAGTGTAATGTTCATTTAGAAGAACAGAAAAGGGATACTCTTCACAAAATATGCAATTAGTATAAGTCATTTAAAAATTAAAATGTACTACTTCTACTTGCCCATAAAAGATTAAGCATCAGCCTACAATTACCAGTAGTTTTTCAACTGCAAAATTATAATAAATAAAAAGAGATGAATTTGTTTAGGATACGATGAAAATGTGTTTAAAAGTTAATAGCCTGCTGCATAAACTGGATCACTCAGCTGTGAGTATTAGAAGAACAGAATAAGTACTTGGTTCAGGTAATCTTCATTCTGGAATTACTTTGAGACACATCATATAAGAATTTATACACACTAGAAGATAAAAGCAATAATAAAATCAAAAGATAATTAAGTAGCACTGACGGCCGATAAAACATTGGCAAACAAGAAATGCGTCTATTTGCAGTCTTATTAAAAAATATTGATTCATTAACACAGTAATCATGTTTTTTGGCAATTTTTATTTAGATGCACTTGATTCTTCTACTTGCTCTCAAACAACGGCAATTGAAAGGATATGAAATAGAATATTCCCAAATGAAACGTCTAGTTTTAGGCTCTGTACACTGCATGATGCCTACTTACTGAAAATACTTATTGGAGACTATATTTTGTAGTGCCAATGTTGGGCACATAAAGTGAACTTTGCTGGTAATGCATTTGTAAAAGCATTAAAGACTGCTGTAGCCAAACAAAAAACAGCTTTTTATCCCTTCTTCTTTTTATTCAGAAAGGGGGGAATAATAGGTGCATACTTAAAGTACTTCAATGAAAAGACAGCTCAAAAGGCAGCAAAACCTTATCCTGAACCTGTTATAACCAGATAAAATTCTTGGTGTAAAGCTGGCATTTATTTGAATTATTGCAATATATGAAGTATATGTTGCATTTCTAAATGACTGTGCAGATGAGAACTTGAGCTACCAGTTTCCGAGAGGAATGTTTTGAAAATTGAAATTTTATCTCATAAAATATGGCTTTTGTTTCTGAATTCTATCCAAAAATGATGTGATTTAGAATACAGAAGGATCAAACCACGCATTCTCTCCCATATTGCCTCTCTTTCTGAGCAATAAGGTAGTGATTATTTTGGGAATATGACAGAATGTTCTTTGAATGTTGTCAACCAAAGAAAAGTGAAGTTGATCAGACCTATAAAATGATGGCAATGACAGCAGCACAGAACAGTGAAACTAAGCAAACCCTACACAAGCTATTTAACCTTTTCCTGTGGGCTCGAAAAGCAGTTGTGTACCTTCACTGGGGGCTCTTGGCTCAGCTGTTACGGAAAGGGGGACAAATTCTGGAATCCAGTCTTAACGACTAGGTGATTAGTGCTCTTTCGTCAGCATTCAGGGAAACTATCAGGGTTTCTTTCAATCCAGTTCCAATGCTCTAGGCGTTAGAATGCAGGATGTACTCGAATCGCTTTCACACTGCAGTTAGATGATGCAGTTTTCCCAAGGGAAAAAATATTATTTTATCTTCAGATGAAATGTATGTTTCACCTAGAAAATTTTGCTCTAAAAACATGTTCCATTTTAAAATACTTTTTTAAACTTGCACGTAGATTATGAACTAAAAAATAAGCGAAGCAATGAGAGTTAAATATATTCACTTGGCATCGTAACGAAAATTCAGTGATTTAAAATATTCAAACAATATATACATTTTCATTTTTAATAGTGTTATTATTTTGATATTGAAGAGCAAATTAAATAGAATTTATTTATTCCAAGTGTCATTTAAAAAGCATTTCCGGATTCCCAAATGAGTGTTATTACATTTACACCTCTGGTAAATATTCATTTCTGAAGAAATAGAAATTGGTCACCGCGTTTGTACAGCACTAAATTATTATTGAACAACACCTGCACTAACAAAAATTTACAATGCATGACTCAAGATTTTTCTTTTATTTATTTTTCTTCCATGTGGCTTTCCAAATAGCGGTCCCAGAATTGATCTGCCTTTACATCAGGAATCTAAGATGTTTAATTTTTTTTAACTACTTTACAGTTTTTTTCCCAGGAAAGAAATGCAGATGCAAACACTGGAGCTTTAGAAAATAAAACTCTTATTGAGTTTTAATGTATTCAGTAACAAAAAATTAATTTTATCACTCGGAGACATTAGATATTACTTTTACCTTAGAACAAGCAAAAGGGGAATAGTTGTTCGATGATTGATATTGCTGCTACATTTTTTTAATGCAAAATTGCATATACGGGAACGCATTGAAATTTTAAAAAATAAACATCTTTGTTGAATGGCGACATATTTCTTCGGGTTTTTTTATGATATACATTTTCAGAATGCTAAAATCGCCTTTAAGGTATCAAACCATTATGCGAAATTTTCAGATCTCAAGCTATTTACTGTTGCTTTCTTTGGTAGTAATGAAGCTGGGAATGAAGATTCGTACTGAGTTGATGAATATTAATGAAGATTCACACTGAGGATTAAATTCAGAGAAATAAAATGTGGTACACATCTGAATTCCTATGCACGTGATTAGTACTCCAATATCTTGTTTGATTCCCTCCAAAAAACAATTCTCATGTAAAATAAATTACTTTCTGAACACTATTAGTAACTGAGTGGTTAAGATGGCTGAATGCTGGTAGTTCGACACGGGTTTGACGTCAGGTGATCGAGCTGGCCGCATGGTTTTCGTTGTTTCCCCCATGTGAAAGGTGAATATGAACCAATTTCCCCTAAAAGTTCTCCCCGAAGGCATCCTTTCCTTTGGGTAGGCAGCCTTCGTGTGCTTTATCACATTCAATTATGGTAAAGCACACGAAGGCTCCGAAGAACAATAATTTCCGAAGAATTTTGGCAGCCGAACTTCTGAAAATAATGTTTCTTTGATATTTGACCAAGCCGATTTTTTCTGCATATATCATTTTTATTCCTTATTTCAGTAGTGTAGTTTTCAACGTTAAGGGTAGTTTCAAATGATAAAAACAATGTATCAGACTCTATCTGGAGGACTCAAAGTAGTCTAATTTTTAATACCTAGTTTACTACGGCCATTGTAAAGTTTTGACAAGTAGCAAAAATTAGTCAATTTTAATAACCTTTTTAATAATTAAATGAAGATTTGATTCAAAAGATTTTACAAAATGAGTTACATACTTTTAATATAATATAAGTAATGCGGGCATACTTGCAAGTGAAACAAACAAAAAGAAAAGAAAGAAAAAGAAAACAATAAAATTATTTATGATAGTTTTTGTAACAGTCTCCAAGACATAGGCCAACATTACAGATTTTACATGCAACCCAAGTTCTCACTTCTTTACGATTTTTGCTGCACACAACGCACTGTCTCCTCAAATTAGATTTCACCGGCCAATGAAACGATGGAGTGGTTGGAGAAATAATCGTAGGCAAATTATTCCTATCACACGTTTGAAAAATTTGATTAATTAAATTCATGCAAAAACTTCTGTGATCCATCTTGTTTCTCTCTTTGAATAATATATATGCGTTTAAAACGGCAATGTTCAAGAAATGGAAAAAAGTTTTTTTGTCCATTTTTGAGACTTTCGCGAAAATCCGTAGGAATTGGCCATTCTGTCGCTGAGGTCGACATATCCCATATTTTTGTTATAATCATGAATGAGTGCAGGTTTTGAAGTTCTTTCGCAATTATTCATAACTGGAAGGAGTTCACTGTCTCGTTCATGCATAGAGCTTAAAACATAAACTTCTCTTTTATCTTTCCAGCACGCAACAGTGAGGCCATTTGAATATTTCATATCCAAATCACCTGCTTTTCTGGCCGTCAAATCCTTAGGTAAATCTTTTTGTCGGATCTGCACTGTTCCGCAGCAATTTATCTTATAATTATTTCTTAGTTCTAGAAAAAGTCGCAGAGTAGAAAAGAAATTATCCATAAAGAGGGAATGCCCTTTCCCTTTCACATGTTTTGCTAAATGTAGAACAACAGATTCCGATGCGCTTCGACCTTCAAATCTTTCGTCTTTATCTTTCCCTAAATAAACTTTCATGTCATATGTATAGGCATTTTCGTCACACAGTTTATAAATTTTGATTTCCCAGCGTTTATGTTTTTTGGGGATATACTGACGGAAAATTACACGACCTTTAAAAGTCACGATCACTTCATCAACTGCCAGATTTTTTGACGGATCGTAAACTGATTTAAAATTGCTGTTAAGTATTTCAAATACTTCTCGAAGTTTCCATAAGCAGTCGTAATCAGAACTTGTCTTCAATGGCGGTGTTTCTATATTCGCAAAATGAAGAAAGTGTAATATTTTTTAAAGCGGTCAAGAGACATGATTTTTCGGAAATATGGAGTCTCAATCAATTCATTTGTGCTCCAGTAATCACTAATTGAATCCTTTTCTATGTGTCCACATAGCAACGTCAGTGCTAGAAACGAAAACATTTCAGATGATGTAACATCTTTCCAATCAGCATGATGTGATCTTTTTCTCTCGGAAGAAATTTCCGGTACACTTTTTTTGTTTTGAGCAGCAATTTGTTTCCCGTACAATTTTATCTATCAGTTCATTATTGAAAAAAAGTTTAAAATAATCAAGTTCATTCCTATCATATAATTCATGTTTTTGTCCTGATGTACCCGTAAAATCGTAAACTATTACTTCATCTGCACTTGCAAAATTATCGCATAGTTTTTTCCATACAAATTCTGTTTCATAATTTACAGTTGAAAGTGGTAAAACAATCTGATCAGACGAACAACCAGGAGTTTTTGAGTAATTTCTTGATTCTGTTATTGAACTTTGAAATTCCACTTCCATATGATTTCTTAGATCTGTGGTTATCTTTTTTCTCTGTCATCAATTGCAATCAGAATCCGCAAATGTTTCATCCAACTCATCCCACCGCGCGACGATATCCAAAATTTCTTCTTTCATTAGGTATCTTTTACGTTTAGCATTATTTAAAACTGAACTCAAAAAAATTATATATCAACTGCAAGAAATAGTAATCGTATTTGCACAGGAAAAATCCTGAAAACACAAACGCGTGAGAATCGAAGTAACAAATTACTCTTTTTATTTTTTTCTCTCAATATTTCTTGGAAGATACCGAATTTGTAAACAAGCCTTGTGGTTTCAGAACAGGACAATTCTCCCCAATCCATTACCAGAAACGCACAAAAGAACGCACTCCGCGGGGTGTCAGAAAGTCATCAAGCCTCAAGCGCTAGAATTCCTACCCCTGCCGCCGACGACAATCTGTCGCACCCCCAGTTGCTGCATACTTAGATGGGACACATATGTCCCAGCCCCCAGGAAAAGGTTAACACATTCACTGCCAATGAAAATGACATGTCTATCCTTAGGAGAGGATTACAAAATAGTACTTTAATGGTTAAAAACGTTCCTTATATTTTATTACTAAAACTAGAAAAAAAAGGGAAAACATTTTATTTTCCCATTTAGAGTTTTTTTTTTTTTTTTTTTTTTTTTTTTTTGACAGTACAACATCAGTAGCACATCAAGTTCAACCTGTTAAGCTACAGTTGTAATTACTGAGGTAACTTGTTGTCTACTGTCTCAGAATCCAACATTTCTATGCTGCAATATGTGGTGGTTTCTGCAATGTCACTAGCTTTTTTTCAGACAATCTCACCTATAGTCTTCATCGCTTTCCTAATCGCAAAAGTCACTCTTTTCGGTAAAACTATATTTCAGAGTACCCTTGGTGAAATTGCCCCCATTCCTGCTTATGTCCAACGCCCTTCCCCGTAAAATGGCGTCCAATTTAAAAATTTCTATCTTTTTGATATATGCGACACACAAAATTCCTTAACAGCATCCAAAAACTACTTAAAATTATCTAAACTAGAATCTGCATACTGCCAATGCCCCATTAATTCACAAAATAAAAAAATGAAAAATATTCTCTGTACTGCCTGACTTAGTTTCTTTCGAAAATCCCTTTTTATTACACCAGTCATATCTTCCATAGTGTTGATATTAGCTCCAATTTTGAAATACTTAAGAATAAGTGGATAAAAGATAAGTGATAAGTGGCAGAAAAAAAAAAATTAATGGTTAGGCTTGAAAATATGAATTATTTTAACCTAGTAGACTATTTTTTTATTGGCCAATTGCAAGTAATTTAGCACAGAATAAACTTTAGGCATAATTTACAGAGAGGTGAACAAAGCCATTTACATCTTCATTTACACACCAGTCAATCAATGTTTTCTTTACCAATGGTTCCAAAGTGTACAGAAAATTCAGGTTAATCATACCACCAACAGGCATTTTATGGTGTAAAACAGAGGTTCTCAACTGGTGACACGTGTACCACTGATGGTACACAAAAAAGCAAAGTATTTTTAACTATTAAATTCAAAAATTAAAACCCCGACATCCTGATTGAGTTTTTTCTCTAACACTCGTAAATTTATGCGATCTGAGCTTTGTTCAAGAGTGGTCGTGGTACTACAGGTTTTAAATTTCTGTTTAGATGGTACATGTTAGTCAAAAGGTTGAGAACCGCTGGTATAAAGCATAATATAAGTACTTCCTAATCAACATCCATACCTAAGTAAGGCCTTACAAATATTTTCCCATCAATTAAAATCACCACAACCACACATTACAACCAATCACATCATAACAAGGTTTCCATTAACATTAAACTACTCAGGTTACCATAAATAAACAACCACTTGGTGATCATCCAAGGGGTACCCTAAAATATAGACTAACCTTCTTCTCTAATAATTCTAATATTTTTGCATTCATCATTTTTTATTTATTTTCCTTTCTTGGGCTGAGAAGGTGCTGCCATACTTGTGCCTACCGCTGTCTTTAAAAATGCACATAAAAAAATTCAAACACAAAATTTGAAAAAACATAAAAAAAAAAAAAGAAAAAAAAAAAAAAAAAAAAAAAAAAAAAAGAAAGAAAGAAAGAAAAGAAAAAAAAAAAAATAATACTCACTAATATGCCTAAACAACCTCTTTGCTCAATTTTTCAATGCCACTCTAAAAATAAAGCATATAACTTGTGACAGTCCATTGACGTCCCACATATGAAGTGGCTCCATTCTGACGTACCAATGCAACAGTGACAATGAATGAGTTAATGCAACAAATGAACTTCAGAATATTTGCATATTATTTTCGTTATATATAATCACAAGAAATCCTACATCAGCATTGAAACCAAATTTATTATTGGAAAACTTTTCTAAAATATAATTTTAAAAAAGATTCCGAAATATCGGCTCAACGATGGATATAATCATTTTCATACAGCAGTAAATTAAAACACTCACATACAGATATTTAAAGCAACAATAAAAAAATCTGCACAGGCAGTTATTTAAAGCCTTCGTCATAGTCCATTAATAACACGTATGCTGAAATGTTTTAGACCTAAGATATTGTACTTATGGATATAAGATAAAGACATCAAGGAATAGAATATAGAGACAATGATGTTAGTTTTCAAATAATTGTTTTGCATATCGTTGCTATAGCTTAATTATAATAGGTTTGAAAAACAGTAATTTGTATTTTTATCATCCCCCCCCCAAAAAAAATTAAATGTAAAATGAAAATTATGTATGATAATGATAGATGTAACAATGGTAAACAAATTCTATGGCAATTATGAATGTGATCCCTTTCCTCCCTTGGATTTTAGATACTAAGATTATTCACTAGATTAACTTTCGTTGTATTTTCTAGCATAATTAAATTTACACCTCAGTGGGCTGGTCTTATTATTCTCCAAAAAAGGAGAGGGACAACATCATTTATTTTCTTTTATTGTGGACTACAAAACAATATACCTTAATTTTACAGTGGTAAGTATGGAGTTCAGTCTGAAATGTTTGAGATACGTGCAGAAGATAAGTGGCAGAAAAAAAAAATTAATGGTTAGGCTTGAAAATATGAATTATTTTAACCTAGTAGACTATTTATTATTGGCCAATTGCAAGTAATTTAGCACAGAATAAACTTTAGGCAGAAAAAGAAATGGAGTTGATGAGAGAAAATATCATAATATGATTTTCAAGTGGATTAAATAAAGTATCTACATTTAGTATCTACAATTAGCATTTGAAGATGAAAGTCCATCTCGTGCTATTGTATTCAGATGGTTTACAGAATTTCATAGAGGTTTCAACTCCCTTCAGGATGAAGAACACACAGGAAGACCATTGTCGGCAATAATTCCAGATAATGTGTCTGCCATATGGCAAATGTTAATTGATGATAATTGCTGCACCTACCAAATGATACAGAAGGAAATGATTGGATCTTCTACCAGGGCTGTTGAGTCAGAATCGGAGTTAGGCAGATTTTCACATGAAAGGAATTGACTCCTGTTTTTGTCGAACAGTTTCAATTTCAAAATAAACTGAATTTCAAATCAAATTAAAGTGAATTCAGAAGAAAAAAAAAATAATAATAATAATGATAGTCAACTTATTATTTTTATTTATAGACTATGCACATTAATAATATTTAGTTACTTTCCCTTTCATTGACATATTAATAAATATAAGGGAGGAGGATGGATGTGATATTTGCCATTATTCATTTAGTTACGTCTTCAGATCATAGATGGCATTATTGTAGCAGGAGCCTATGGCTGCAAAATGTTACAAATCTCATTGTTAAATTTAGACAAGCAGCAGCAATAGCAAGCATTCCGAAAAGTTATACCATTCTTAGGAGGTGAGCAGGAAAAGGAGCAATTATTGATCAAGCATCGCGATGGGGAAGTACATATTTGATGATAAACAGGTTGTTAGAATTAAGAACTTTTTTAGATGTAGATAACCCTAATGTTTCACCAACACATAGACTGTGGAATGATCTTGCAGAATTGGAAACTCTTCTTTCTACACCATATATAGCCACAAAAAAGCTATAATCTGAAGAATTAACAGGAAGCTTGTTTCTGCGAGAACGGAAAAATGTGATGTTTGTTCTTTCCAAAATGGGACGGCTTATTGCAGAAGGAGTCATGTCCTCAATGAAGAA